AGGCCGGGAACATCCGCTGTTTTCACTGGGAGCGCTGCAGAACAGTCAGTTCACGAGAATTCATTTTCCGGCGCAGGCTCGTGTGGGAAGCTCGTATCACACGTACGTTTTAGAGATTGTCGCGCTTTGAGTTTACCAGAAATGGTTTGTGTTGTTCTAGCGAAAACCGTACTCCTTCCCCCGGGTGATTCAAGATCCGGCTCCTTTTTGTCAGAAGCTTCTTTGGAGACTTCGTTGTGATCAGCCTTAGGATGCGATCCTGACTGCGGCTCCGATCCAGGCTGTTGAATGATATCGGACTGATTGGGAGCCGGTGTACTAGGCAGGCTCTCAGTCTCGGTGCTAGCTGAAGCCTGGGAGCGCAGGCGAGACCTGCTCTGGAAAGAACGCGCCCATAGCTGCTGATGCGGAGGCGCACTCAAGCCACGGGAAAGACACGACCAGCAGACGTGACCCCTCGTGGGGGTCACGGCGGACCGCCACGAAGCCCGAAGCATTCGGGGCTATATCAAGGGGGAACCGAGTTCAATGCGATGGTGAAGACCAGGATATGGAGGAAATGTGGAAAGACCAAAACGAAATGGACGATGGTCCAGATGGAGAAGGATTGAAACCTCCGGGGCGGCAGGCGGCAAAAGTTGTTGGTTGCTCTTATCACTATTTTTTTTTGCCGCTTTGCCAGGTTCAACAGTCGAATTCTTTCTGCCAGTGGAGGCGGTGAGAATGCCCGACCGCCTAGACACTCAGGCCAATCCTACCAATCCGGGGTCGGGGCAAATCACCGCTTCCCCGCCGGGCGGCCAACCCAGGCAAAATCCGACATCGCTGCTAAGAAAAAAAAAAAAAAAAGAAGACCAACGATTTGACTTTTAAAACTTCCCCCACCATCCCTCAACCGTCAACTTCGTGGGCTGTTTGAATTCATCCCTTTCTTTTTTTTTTCCCGCGCAGGTCGCTTGCTAGGTGAGTTGCTTAAGGTTGTCTTTAGATCAGTGCAGCCATTGAGACATTACTGTACGGGAATCCGTCAGATTTAAACCAGAGACAAAAGATGGAGAAAGACAAGAGAGACTCCACTTTGACTTTTGAGTATTGACTGACTCAAACACCCCCCCCCCCCTCCCTCTCCTCTCTCTATGAGAGCTTCTGTCTTTCCCATCACCCTCCCAGGCATCGCTCATTTTTTCCTCTTCCTCTTTTTCTTCTTTCCCTTCGTTTCTCCTGTTCCTTCCCTATCTCCGACTGCAATTGACTCTTATCGTCCCACCCTGCAACCACCACCATCACCACCACCCCACCATTTCTGTCCCGTCCCATACTAATCTCGACCCAATCCCTCAGGTTCACTCGAGCCCATCGCGCCTCCCCCTCCCCCCTTCTCTCATCATGACTACCGAGCGGTTGCGCGTGCTCATTGTCGGCAATGGCGGTCGTGAACATGCGCTGGCCTGGAAATTGAGCCAGTCGCCCCGCGTCGACATCGTCTTCGTCGCTCCCGGAAACGGCGGTACCGGCAGCGGTGCCTCAGACAAGATTCAGAACGCCAACGTCAAGGGTGATGATTACCCCGGACTAGTGGCCTTCGCCCAACAGAACGGCGTAAACCTGGTGGTACCTGGTCCTGAGGCTCCCCTAGTGGACGGCATCCAGGGTTATTTCCAGGCCGGTGAGTATTCTCAACAAACACAAATTAAGGCCACAGAAGTCAGCACAGCCTTACTAACCACGGTCACAAACAGTCGGTATCCGATGCTTTGGTCCCTCCAAGGCGGCTGCCCGCATGGAGGGCTCCAAGACCTTTTCGAAGGATTTCATGAAGCGCCACAACATTCCCACTGCCGCCTACGAGAACTTTTATGACTATGAGTCCGCTCGCCAGTATCTCGACTCCGTTTCCCACCAGGTCGTGATCAAGGCCGACGGCCTGGCCGGTGGTAAGGGTGTCATCATCCCTACCACGAAGGAGGAAGCCCATCAGGCTCTTCGTGAGATGATGGTTGAGAACCAGTTTGGTGAGGCTGGCAGCGAGGTCGTTATCGAGGAATACCTGGAGGGTGATGAACTCAGTGTTCTCACTTTCTCCGACGGCTACACCATCCGTTCTCTTCCGGCTGCCCAGGATCACAAGCGCATCTTTGACGGGGACCAGGGCCCTAACACCGGTGGCATGGGCTGCTACGCCCCGACCCCCATTTCCTCCAAGGCCGTGCTGGATGAGATCGACCGCACCATTGTGCAGCCATCTGTTGACGGCATGAGAAGAGACGGTCAGCCATCATCCCTCCTTTGGTGTCTGCATCATACTAATACGTCTTCCAGGCTTCCCTTTCGTCGGCATTCTCTTTACCGGTTTGATGATGACCAAGGACGGTCCCAAGGTCCTTGAATACAATGTTCGTGGTGGGGACCCCGAGACACAGACCCTGCTGCCCCTGCTCAGCGATGATACCGATTTGGCCGAGATCATGGTTGCCTGTACGGAACACTGGCTTGACGGTGTTTCCATCCAGATCAAGCCCAACTTCTCCACCACGGTCATTGCCGTCGCTGGTGGCTACCCTGGCTCTTACGCCAAGGGCAAGAAGATCACTCTTGACTCTCCCACCGAAGGAACCCTCATTTTCCACGCCGGCACCAACCTTGTCAACGGCGAGTTGCAGACCGCCGGTGGCCGTGTCATTGCGTCCACCGCGACCGCTTCCAGCCTTGAAGAGGCTGTCCGCAAGAGCTATGAGGGTATCTCCACCATTCACTTCGAGGACATGTTCTACCGCAAGGACATCGCCCATCGGGCATTCCGCCAGCGCGATGCCGCTGCCGCCCAGAAGGAATCTCTCACCTACGCCGCTGCGGGTGTATCCATTGATGCTGGCAACGACCTCGTCAACCAGATCAAGAGCTCTGTCGCCAAGACCAAGCGTCCTGGTACTGACGCCGTGATCGGTGGCTTTGGTGGCCTCTTCTCCCTCGCCGCCGCCAACTCCGCCTACGATCCCAACTCCCCGACCCTGATCGGTGCCATTGACGGTGTCGGCACCAAGCTCAAGATCGCTCACGCGGCCGGTGTACACAACACCGTGGGTATTGACCTTGTCGCCATGAATGTCAACGACTTGGTTGTTCAGGGTGCAGAGCCCCTCTTCTTCCTCGACTGCTACTCCTGCGGTCACCTGGACGTGCCCACGGCCGCCGCGTTCGTCACCGGTGTCGCCGATGGCTGTGTTCAGGCTGGCTGTGCCCTGATTGGTGGTGAAACCGCCGAGATGCCCGGTCTCTTCGTCGACAACACCTACGATGCTGTTGGTGCCGCCGTCGGTGCCATCAACACTACGGGCCCCAACGCCCGGCCTATCCTTCCCGAGACCGCGGCCATGAAGGCCGGTGACGTGCTGCTGGCTCTGGCCTCCTCTGGCCCTCACTCTAACGGCTACTCGCTGGTCCGCAAGGTCGTCGAACGCTCCGGCCTTAGCTACGATGCCGCCGCTCCCTTCACCATGCCCGCTGCCACCGGCCCCCAGACACTCGGCCAGGCCCTTCTCACTCCCACTCGTATCTACGTGAAGCCCCTTCTCAAAGCCCTCTCTATTCCCTCCGCCACCCCCGCCGCTCCCAACTCTTCCGCCATCAAGGGTCTTGCTCACATCACCGGTGGCGGTCTGGTTGACAACGTTCCCCGTATGTTGCCCTCAACCCTGACCGCACACATCAACGTGGAGGGCTGGAAGCTGCCCTCGGTCTTCGCCTGGCTCAAGCAGACCGGAAACGTCGAGGCCATTGAAATGGCTCGCGCCTTCAACTGCGGAGTCGGTATGGTTATTGCCGTCGAGAAGGGCTCCGAGGCTGCCGTCAAGGACCTCCTCCAGAAGGAGGGTGAGACCGTCTATGAGATCGGAGAGCTTCAGGCCAGAAAAGAGGGCGAGGAGGGATGTGTCCTCACTGGATTGGAGAGCTGGGACGCTTAAACCTTATCGTGAAATGATTTATACCAACTGCTGCAATAATTGGTTTTTCTCTTTTTCCTTTCTCCTAAAACGTGAATGAAAAGTACTTCCTCGGGATTATGTTTAGATGAGGGAGCGGTGTGATTGATGTTTATTACGATTTGTGCCACCAGAGCATGGTTTGCCTGGTTTGTTTCTTGGATGTATTTATGATTTTATTACATATACCTCCTCTCGACGAGAGTAACATGATTTCTTTGTTTGAACCCCACACGAGCATGAACATTTATCTAATTTGTGGATTCTGATCCTGGTTCTCAACATGCAATACATGCAAAAAAAGAAAATTCTTATCTACTCCTGTCCGACGACGGACATGGTCCTCGTACTGAAGAGTTAAAATTACTTCATGTCTCCGCATTATCTCACTCATAATGATTCGAGTAAATAGACCTTGTTCTAATCCCGTCTATCCCTATTTCTCGCTCTCTGACAATCCACTACATACTCTTTTCAACCAGCACTGACTGAACCTAGTTCAAATCACGTGCAAGGCAGACAGCAGGTCGATGCTGTTAACCCCCAGAGCCAACAGTACCTACAAGACACAATATCTACTTGGCCTGGTCATGTGCCCGGTAGATGAGAAGGTCCCAGCCGGCCAAGAGAAGATGACATCATGGACAGAGTCTCAATTCTCAAATAATATGCACCAACATTGACTGCAAACAAAGTCGGGGTAAACCCCGCCATGGACTACCAGGATCACGAAATGATGAACATTCGACCCGCGCAGAACTCATTCGTCAGCAGCTACGGCAGGCGTGACTACGGTGTGCAAGTTTGCGGAGACATCATATTTGCAGTAGCAATTCATAGTGTCACAGCTGAGAAGGAATACGCGTGCAGATCTTAAACACGAGTGTAAAAGACTTATATGAAGAAAGCTTTCCCCAGCCTGGCCACAAGTCCCATATACATCTCGGTCCTACACCATTGCCTGGTCCGCTTGTCGCCTGGTTTTCCGGGCGGTGGCCAGGGGTGGTGGCCCTGGGCCAAGTGGCAAGTGTGTTTCAAAATGAAAAAAAAGTAAAAACCATCTCTATTCGACAGCTAAAATAAAAGTTCCTTTTTCAGGCGATCTTCCTCCTAGTGCGAGTCAGAGAGGGCCCGCCAGTCACCAGTGTCTCCGTCGGGTCTTTTGATACATGAGGGAATATGAGAGTACGAAACGAATCACGCGCAAGAGCTACAAAAGATTAGCACACGTACCAGTTCACCACAGAAGAACACAACATACCTTAGAAGCACTTGCGGTGGACGATGGAGGGACCGCTCTCGTCGTACTCCTGCTTGGAGATCCACATTTGCTGGAAGGTGGAGAGGGAGGCCAGGATGGAACCACCGATCCAGACGGAGTACTTGCGCTCGGGAGGAGCAATGATCTTGACCTTCATCGAGGAAGGAGCAAGGGCGGTGATCTCCTTCTGCATACGGTCGGAGATACCAGGGTACATGGTAGTACCACCAGACTAATTCATCATTAGTGGGCGCTCATGGGGGAACAATCTAACACAGAAACTCACCATGACAATGTTGCCGTACAGATCCTTACGGACATCAACATCACACTTCATGATGGAGTTGAAGGTGGTGACGTGGATACCACCGCTTTCGAGACCCAGAACGCTGGGCTGGAAGAGAGCCTCAGGAGCACGGAAGCGCTCGTTACCAATGGTGATAACCTGGCCGTCAGGAAGCTCGTAAGACTTCTCGAGGCTGGAGCTCTGGGAGGCGGTCTGGATCTCCTGCTCGAAGTCGAGGGCGACGTAGCAAAGCTTCTCCTTGATGTCACGGACAATTTCACGCTCAGCGGTAGTGGAGAAAGTGTAACCACGCTCGGCCAAGATCTTCATGAGGTAGTCCGTCAGGTCACGACCGGCCATGTCGACACGCGAGATGGCGTGGGGGAGGGCGAAACCCTCGTAGATGGGGACGACGTGAGTGACACCGTCACCAGAGTCCAGAACGATACCAGTGGTACGACCGGAGGCGTACAGCGACAGGACAGCCTGGATGGAGACGTAGAAGGCGGGGGCGTTGAAGGTCTCGAAGACGATCTGGGTCATCTTCTCACGGTTGGACTTGGGGTTGATGGGGGCTTCGGTCAAGAGAACGGGGTGCTCCTCAGGGGCGACACGGAGCTCGTTGTAGAAGGTGTGGTGCCAGATCTTCTCCATGTCATCCCAGTTCGTGACGACACCGTGCTCGATGGGATATCTGAGGGTGAGGATACCACGCTTGGACTGTGCCTCATCACCGACGTAGGAGTCCTTCTGACCCATACCAATCATGATACTGCGAACTCGTTAGATTCATGGGGGGCCCATTTCGGATTGAAAAGGGGGAAAGCTTTACCCATGGTGACGGGGACGACCGACAATGGAGGCTGTAGGCAATAGTTAGTATCCTAGAATGATGGTAGAAAGGAAAGGCAATTCACCGCCCGCTCTCTTCCCCCGCAATAATGCCAACTCAATGCAAGGGAGCTATAGAAGCATGCCTTGCAGAGGGGGTGGCCATCACGAGGGTAGGGAGGGGTAGTCCGAAAAGCTGGTGGGGGGAGGGGAAGTGACTTACGGAAGACGGCACGGGGAGCATCGTCACCGGCGAAACCGGCCTTGCACATACCCGAACTGGAGAAGACCAGTTAGTAGGAGCTTCGTATGAATCATGGTTGAAGCTCAGTAGCTCTCATAGTTCCCTAGGCTTGGGAGGAGAGATTCAGGCAAGTACGTTGGCAACCGGGGATTATTCAGTGTCGCGACCGGAGCCGACACGTATGTTTTGCCATCTCACCCCCCACCCAGCATGGGCGGAACACAAGGAACAAGCTCCATTGCCGGAAACCATCAGCAATGTCAGAACGTACCCATTGTCAATGACGAGAGCAGCGACTTCCTCTATAAATTTGAAGAAAAGACAGTTAGCGAAATGCAAAAATGTTAAGTTGGTGAATTATGATGGAGATGAGACGAGGGGGTGGAGGGGGGTGGAGGGGAGAGGACGGTTTCAGGGGAGAGCTTGGGGAAGCAAGCGAGAGACGCAAGGTGGCCGAAAGCTTACCTTCCATGGTGACTGTGGGATTAAGAATCGAACTACGGAAAGAAAAAGAAAAGAGAGAAGAGAATTAAAGGGGAGGAGGGTGGTTTGTGGTGGTGGTGAGGTTGGGTGGGTGGTGGTGATGAGATGGGAGAGGGGGAAGGAGAGAGAGAGAGAGAGAGAGAGAGAGAGATAGAGGAAGAGGTAAGAAAGGAAGAGGGAGAGGGAGAGAGAAGGAGAGAGAAGGCGGGAAAGAGAGTTGAGTGAGTTATTGGTAGAGCACCAGACAGAAGAGAGGCAAGAGAGGGAAAGGGAAGGCTGTGAGTTTAGGAGGTCGGCGGGTGAGGGTGCGTAGTCAGCAAACACAACACAACACAAGACAGAACAAGACAAGAACAAGAACAAGACAACCACCACAAATTAAAAACCTTTGCTAATAATTAGTGGATTAAATCAATTGATGGGTAGGTAGGGATTGGGTTCTTGAGCTCTTGCTTACGGGTGAGGGGGGTTTTATTTCCTAGATCTGGTGGTCTCAGGAGGAGGAGGGAGTTGTGTACTGAACTCCTCGGTAACAGTACTGTATAGTTGTCCTTCTGGGACAGGGGAGGCAGAAGGAGGGGAAAAGGAGGAAAGAGGGAGAGAGAGAGATAGTGGGGGTTTGTCTAGACTGGTCTGAGTCTAGTTTGAGCGTAAAGCAGTTCGTTGATTGCACCAGCTCAACTTAGTGAGTCTTTAGTGCCAGTTGCTGTCACCGCCACACTACCCAATTCGGGGACGGCTTCACAATTGGGGGGTGGTGGAAAAACCGGGTACTGGAGATGGGAGGAGGTAAATGTGTAATGCGAATACGATTTTCGAACCACAAGCTCAATAGATTCGCATCCATGATCTTCCCCCCCGTCCTCCTCTCCATCTTATATACACCTATCACTCATCATTCCCTTCCACACACACATCTAAGATTCAAATAGTGGTTGCCTTCAGGCAGAATGATTGTTGATGCGGAAAGTCTGGAGTAAAAGCATTGCGCATTGCGCATCCCTCGTGGGGCACAATCGATCCTGATCCAGGGTTGCTGTCGTCGCCGCCGTCCGGACCAGAGAACAGGTTGCTGAATGATGTCCGATGATGCCACGCGCGATAATAATAGCTTAGTCTAGTCTAGGCCAAGGAATCATCGTCGCTCCCTTTCCCCCCCCTCCCTCTCTCCTCTTCCTAAACTCCTGATAGTCGGACGGTCGGAAGGCCCCTCCGGCTTCTGGATCCCTCTCCTTTCCTTCGAATCGAAAGAATGGAGCCCCAGTCGAGTTCTTTAGTCCGTAGTAGTCTAAGGGGGGTTGTTTATTGACTTCACGTAAAGTGTCGGCCCCTCATTCATCTGGACGTTTTCTAGCGTACTCTGTCATTTGTGCTCGGTGTCCCTGAACGGGTCCATGATCATCTTTCTTCATTTCTGACCCGACCGGAAAGAGTGTCAATTTTCGGAGGAAGCTCGACAGACCCCCGAAATTCAATGTAACGATTAGTGCTTCGTTGGTAATGGGCGACAATCAATCGACTGATATTTGATCATTCATAACCGCCCCTAATGTGTTTCTTCTCGGGGATGGGGGGTTAAGGAGAGGGGCCGATACAGCGAGCACCTGGACCAATTGCTTATCCTCGAGGATGTAAGGTTTGGTGTTCGCCTATTCACGACGACCAAGGACATACATGCAATGTCAGACGAATGGCACGATGTGTTTTAACGGTTGACTGTTTCTTGATCTGATATCACAAATGGCCGCATCGCGGGGTATCCGATGGCGGGGTATTCATCGCCAGCATTGCTTAAACAAACCGAAAGCAATTACCTTCCCCAGAGAGAAGATATCGAGCCTAGAAGCGTAAGTGACTTTGGAATAGACATTGACCAAATGCATGATTGAATGGTAGTAATAGCCCTTGATTGCTAGCTATTGCCAGTAAGCTGGCGATGGAAGAGAGTGGAAGGTAGCGGGAACCGCATGAACCCTCTGGATCCCTCCCGAACGTCACTCCAGTTTTTTTTTTTCCGCCCGCCAAATTGTCAGTTATTGAGAGTGGCCGGGACCTCTCCTAATTCCTCAACACCATCATACCCATAATTATTCCCAACGACTGATTCATTCCTGCTTGTTCTGTAATAGTACATACTTTAAGTTCCAGTCACGACTGATCTATCTATTTTTCGAAATATCCAACACTTTGTGATCTAAAAAACCTCCTCAAAATGGACGCCAACATGAACAACCTGCTCAAATGGAGCATCAAAGCTTCCACCGAAAACCGCGCCGACGACGGTGACAACAACGGAGCTGCCGCTGCTGCTGCTGCTGCTGCTGCTGCTGATGGTACCACACAGCCCTCCAGCGCCGCTTCGCGCGGTCTCAATCCCGAGATGCTTTCCGCCCTCTTCGGCGGTCCCACCGACGCCGACCTGATGAAAGCCTCTATGGAGGCTCTGCGCTCCGATGAGGTGGATCTCGAGAACAAGCTGATCGCGTTCGACAACTTCGAGCAGCTGATCGAGGGCATCGATAATGCCAACAACCTGGAGCCCTTGGGCCTGTGGACTCCTCTGGTGGAGTTGCTGCAGCACGAGGAGGCGGAGATGAGACGCATGGCGGCCTGGTGTATCGGAACTGCGGTGCAGAATAACGAGAAGGCACAAGATAAGGTATGTTTTCTCTCCCCCCCTTTCAAAGCCTCTCTGCCTAGAATCTAATGATAATGTCAGCTCGTCGTCCTCAACGCCCTTCCGAAGCTTGTGACGATTTCCACCACCGATTCTACCCCCAATGTTCGCAAGAAGGCCATCTACGCCATCTCCTCCGCGGTCCGCAACTACCAACCTGCCATGGATGAAGTAACCAAGAGCCTGCCTGAGGGCTACTCTCGTGACAAGATCGACGCTGGCGACATGGATGCTGTGGATGCGCTCATGGACAAGCTGCGTGCTCACCAGGTTGAGTCTGCTTGAGCGGCTTGGCTCTGAAGACCAATAATATAGGGTTGTCGCACGCCCTGCACGAATTCGTCACCTGCTGTAAACGGCCGTGAAGGCCGGGTTATTAGGCTTGTCGGATCATAAATTACCAGAGCATATTCACAGCTCGCCGACGTTGAACTGCTTCCGAGCACAATCAGGCGACTGCATATCTTCCAGAGTGTCTTTCCTGGCTGCTGATAGAGCTGCCTGTCGATCTGGGAATAGAACCGCCTGGCGACAAGCACTTGGCTTGGGTCCATGATGGGACCTGGACCTCTATGAACCAGATTATGTCCCGCACTTGGGGCGGGATCATCCGCTTACATGGCTCTGCATGTCATGAGTCCTTACTGCTATGCATGAGAATATACCCACTTTTTTTTTATTTGCCTATCTTGATTATCTATTTCAATGAACATTTTCTAGATTCAAAGAAAAGAAGTCGTGTTTACGCAAAATATATCTTTCGGCCTATTGGTTCTGACGCTCCCTCCTCTTGGCAATACGTATATATACATATATTGGTAGGAGATTTGCGGTGGCCTAGAGAATGCACGATAGGCAACACTCATCCACGCAATTAGGTCCAGTCGACTATTTGTGCTCTTGCTCCGACTCTTCGCAAGATAAAGTGTGTCTAAGCAGTCAATGTTGCCACCAGGCATACAAAGTTATTAGATAAATCATCCGAGAACATGTATCAAGTGGATGGATAAGTATGCGCGATTTAACAGGCTAAACGTACCACATACAAACAAGGACCAACCAACAAATGCATTCAAGGACAACATAAAACAGAAACGCCGACCACGCATGGAACAAGCACTAGAGCCCAATTGCTCAACCTGAAATCATAACCCCCCACCCTAGGTCCAGTAGTGAACCCATCCTCTCCCTGCAAAGCCACCCACCATATCCTTCTTCATCCACTCCAACCCTTGATCTTCATTCATAGAGCCAGATTGTAGGTATAATCATCCTCAATATTCTGCGAAACCCAGAGCACCACCGAACTACACAAACAGCATTAGCCCCCACTGTCCATTGACCAAAACAACCACTAGAGAAAAGAAAACATACCTCAACATCACCAACCCATTAGCAATGACATTGGCGATTCCAAAATACAAGGTGGGAAACGGGTACGACTTGATCAGATACTTGAGTACCATGACCGTCTGCGAAGTGATCGTTAGCGAGCCAATTTCTTTAAAAAGACATCAGATGCCCCCTCCCCGTAAGGTCCCAAGCCCAAGCCCAACGGAGAAACAACAAAAGAAAACAAAGGAGCAAACATACCACACTCCCCGCCAGCCCCCCGGCCAACAGCGCGAACCCCAGAAACAAGACAAACCGCGCCTTCCACGCGACCCCACTCCCGCTGTAACTGAAGCTATCCGCATGTAGCCGAGACTTCTCGATCGAATTAATTACCAGCATCCCCAGCGCCGAGCAGATGCCGGGGATCCAGTCGACGAATTTCACGTGCACGTTGGAGCCGTTCTTGGCGCTGTGCGAGAAGGCGGCCGCGTCGATGAGGAAGAAGAAGCCTAGGGAGAACTGGTTCGGTTCATTTTGACATTAATATCACAAGGCTTCCATATGTATGGTAGTAGGAAAGGGTGGGCTGGGGGTGTGGAGGGAGAGGAAGTAGAGGTGGGAGCTTACCAGTGCGCCGGAGGTGTAGACGCCTGCATTGCGGACGGCGGAGTTGTTGAGCCATTCAGGCTTGGACCATCGGAAGAGGCGGTTGTTGGAGACGTCCATATTTGCCCAAGGTGATCAGGATGTAAGTGTGTGAGTGAGTGAAAAGACGGCGGTGGTGGTGAGTTCGTAGTCGCTGAGTTAAAGGTAAATAGCTAAGGTAGGTAGTAGAAGATGTTCGGGCTGGTTATCGGCAGGTTGCGGTCATTCGCGTTAGCTTGCCGGCGATGATGCAAGTTGCTTGCCCGGTCGGAGCTCGGAAGAATCATCGGCCGGTCGAGGGTTGCATGTATACAATCCTGGCTGTTGTGTATAATGCACACTGTACAATCAAGTTCTATCCATAGATTGATTTTAGACTATGTCATTTGATATGATGGTATCATAATACTAGTTCAAAGTGATCCCCAGAGTTTCACGCGTACTTTATCACACCCTCGAACACCTTGACCCTACCAACCCAACATGCTTACCATGTATTTATCATAACTCATTATTCATCACCTGTACCAGCCAGGCTTAGTTTTCCTCGCAGAATAATCTCAAGAACTCATCAATGCACGTCATTGCCTTTGCTTTCTCCAATAATGGTGGCAGCCCACTCAGCCCAGATTCTTCCGCGGCTGCCGTCTCCTTCAGATACTTCCGCAAAGCGAACGTTGACGCGCGATAGGTCGCGTGATACATGGCCTTGAATTCATCTTCATCCGCATTTGACCCGGCATCTGCTATTATGCGCGGATCTTTCTCCTCCGGCGTCTCGTCCTGATATCCCGGTCCGGTTCCGGTTTGCGGTCTACTGGAACCTCCCGAGCGTGTCGCAGTGGGTCGGTTGAAGCCATAAAGCCGCATGCACGTCAAGATCGTCCGCGTAATTGTGTTCTTATTCTCGGCAATAATTGCCCCGGCGTCTTTCGGTGTCGTCGGATATTCTACTTTGCCTCCCGGCTGTAGTGAAGGTGACGATCCACAGTCTCGTTTGGAAGTGGATGAAGTTGTAGTATTGGTGGTAAAGTCGATGAACGGATTGGGCGTACCTTTCCGAGAGCCAAGATCCCGCAGATGGCCTCGTCTGCTGCTGGGTCGAGAGGCATCGAATCGAGACTCAAGCGTCTTTCCTGCAATGCTCCCTCCAATGGAAAGGGACCGTGCTCGCTGCGATGGAATGCGTTCGATCTGAGGAAGAGAAGGTTCCTCGGATTCGCGCTTGATCCGTAGCGCTTGGAGTTGCTGCTGGGAGGCGTGCGAGAGTGAGTGTGCCATTAACTGCGACACTGCTTCGCCGCCCTTCTGCCGGACTCGTTTATGATGCTGTGTGACGGAATCGAAGAGAGTGGCAACTCGTTTGCGTTTAGGGCTTGGAGAGTAGATGTCCGGGAGAAAGTGAGCGAACTCGTCATCGTGTATGGAGTCGTCGGTGTTGGGAGGTGCGGACGCAGATTGTGCTCTGGTGATTAGAGATGCGGATATGGGAGTAGCGTAGATTCTGAGCTCTTGTCTGATGGCAGATCGAACCTGATCTTCCAGATCTGATGATGACGATCCAGGTGGGGTGGGAGGCCTTTCGGAGGAGGTTGTCGTTGAGAGGACGCCGTGGATCAATAGGTCGGTTGTGCCGGTACTGGAGACTTTGGTTGGTGCGCCGTTGTTCACACGAACAAGCAGACCAACCGGGCACTGAAATATTTGCAGCCGGTCAAGCTCGTCTTCTTCCAGCCAAAAAGTACTCGTCAACTTGTCCTTGAGCCATATTGTAGTCTCGGGGTTCCCCGCATGGAGTTCAAGGTTCGGACCAGATCGCGCGTGGAGGGGTATAAGCGCCGGGTTTACGAAGCAGCGCAAGCTGAGACATGATTCTTTCGAAAGATCAGATTGCCAGTTGGATGATCTATCGACTAATCTTAGACCTGAATACAAGACTCAGCAGATGCACGCAAGCAGTTTTGTCGCATCCGGCTTACCGTGGAGTTGTGCTCCGCCCTCTAAGGCGATCGCGCCAGTCCAGACATCCATTCTGCGTATCTAGAACTATACAAGCAGCTCACATATCGTGAACTCGAGAATTATCGGGTAGCGAGAGAATTGGGAATCGTAGGTACAAAAAGTTCCTCGCTGGTCGATGTCCGGCGGGTATTTTTACACGAACGCGCCGCCGGAGCGCGATCCCACGTGATCCCATCATAAGCTCAAGGCGGAACGCATCGCCGCATGACGAGGTGATTTGGACAACTTGATAATCTACATCGGATGATCTTATCGGTAACAAGATAGGCCCGTACTGCCAATATTCTATATAAGTGCATAGTGGCTATAATACATCGACCGCATCGCCAAATGACAAACACAAAATCATAGCAAACCCCATAAACACGCAAAGTCACCGTAATACTCCTACGGAACGGTAAATCATATCGATGGCTCGTGAAAAGTAAGAAAGCTGGTAGACACATTGGGGGGATAGGTTCATGCTAGATAGAGAAACATTCTGCAGGGTGGGTTATCCAACGCGAAGCCTGCCTTGCTGGAAAGCACGGCGCTCGGCTTTCAGAAGTCCTCCTGCTCCTTGAAGAACATCGAGAAGCTAATGATAGTTCCGTAGATGAGGAGACCTCCAACAATTGACATGACCATGGCGGGAATTTCGATCGCACCGCAATGCGCAAGGGCGGCTGGAAGAGCTGGATCAAGTAAAATTGGTTAGCTGCCTCGGACGATCTCAAGAAGTAAAACCAGCATCGCAAGCACCGTGAGCCAAAGCACTCGTCACCAGATATTGACAGGAGCGCTCGCAGATCATGCTTCCGGGATCGAAAAGTGCGAACTCACCAATACCCATCAACACCAAGAAACCGGTCATGAAGCGGCCAAAGTCGGCAGCTGCGTTGCCGGAGCTGTCCATAAAGTCATCCGGATTGGCGCATCGTGAGCAGATCCAGTTAGGCAGGGGCGCAACAACATAAGTCGCAACAACAAGCAACGGTAGGAAGTTGTGCCAGAGAGCCGAAGAAAGGATCACAAGAAGAAAACCAATGGCAAGGACCTATGGATGAAATGCATTAGTAGGTGCAAGCAGGTGATTTGAGAAAGAACCAAAGAATTAAAAGCGCGCATACAAACGAGAGTGCGATGATTGTTTTGAGTCCGGCGGTCATGGTTGCGGAGAAGCCCCGGTCGGTGTGAGGAGGAGTCGATAGGGAATAATAGCTCTGTTGAGGGAGAGGGTGGAGAGTGAGGAAGCCCAGAAGATGCTGAGCAAGTGGTATCACGCAAGATGCAGTGATAGAGAATAAGGGTTGTGGATCGACTGCCTAGAAACCCAAGAGTAGAAGGGAAAGTGAGTAAGAAGAATGGGGAGGGAGTGGGATAGGCAAGCAGGTAGGTATGGGTAATACAAGCTTAGCTGGATAACCTACGAGTAGTCAGTCAGTGACGTCCGGGCGCTGGACTGGTGCTGGTGCTGGTGCTGGTGCTGGTGCTGGTGCTGAAAGCCTCAGGCAACAATCATCGACTGCGGAGCGGCGGGAGGTCAGCTTACTGCTGCTGCTAACTGACTAGCGGCGGGAAGCTCTCGTTCTTGCTCTCGCTGGCCGTCACCGCGTCAGTTGCTCTCTGCCTGTCCGAACCTCCTCCACTACTACTATCACTCTATCTCTCCTTCCCATCTTGCGCTTCATTCTTTCCTGCTCTCCCCCACTACCACTCATCTCCTACATCTTTCCCCTGATCGGACTACTCTTCAATCCCTTGACTCCTCATTTGAATCCGATCCTCATCACATCCTCCCGCTATGTTCAGAAACAACTACGACAACGATGCCGTCACCTTGTATGTATTATCGCCAGCTTCTCTCGTCCTTCAAGACTCAACGCAAAGACACCTCAGGTGCTGTGCTAATCAAGGACTCTGCGCACAGCTCCCCGCAAGGTCGGATATTCCAGGTTGAATACGCACAGGAAGCCGTGAAGCAAGGATCCGTGGTGGTGGGACTGGTCAACAAGACACATGCCGTGCTCGTTGGCTTGAAGGTAAGACTAGTTTAGCTACTCTTCCCAACCCCATGAAGTGTTTTCCACTTTCTTTCCCCCCTTACAAAAAGAAGACCTCACACAGCTGACATCTTGCCCCACCTCCTTACCCCCCCTCCCAGCGTAATGCCGAAGAACTCTCGTCATACCAAAAGAAGATCATCGAAATCGACTCCCACATGGGCATTGCCATCGCCGGTCTCGCCTCGGACGCTCGGGTGCTCTCCAATTTCATGAAGCAGCAATCGCTGGGTTCCCGGATGACCTACGGCCGCCCCTTGCCCGTCGACCGCATCGTCAGCCAGATCGGCGACCGCGCTCAAACGAACACCCAACATTACGGCAAGCGGCCCTACGGTGTCGGCCTGCTCGTGGCCGGCGTCGACGACGCCGGTCCCCACCTGTTCGAGTTCCAGCCCTCGGGCATGACCCAGGAAATGGTGGCCTGTGCCATTGGCGCCCGTTCCCAGATGGCCCGGACCTATCTCGAGCGCAACTTGGAGAAGATCGCCGGCTCTACGCGCGACGAGCTCATCACCCACGGCCTGCAAGCCCTCAAGGAGACCCTTTCCCAGGATAAGGAGTTGACGGTGGATAACACCTCCGTCGGTGTGGTGGGTCTGGCTCCCGAGGGTGCCAGGGGTAGGATTGAGAGCTTCAAGCTATACGAGGGTCAGCTGCTCGTACCTCTGCTGGACGCTTTGGAGCGGTCGGAAGCCGGCGAGGAGACGAAAGAGGCCGAGACGATGGAGGTGGACTCATAGAGCGTGGGTGGGGAGACGGTGCCACACCTAGCTTCGAATCCTTTAGATGAATTTACCTTCTGATAGTTATAGTCATGAATCGGGATAATCTCATGTTACTCATCAAATAAGAGGAATACCTGTAAGGTTATATACCTTAGGGCAGCCATAGCTCTCGGGCATGTCATTGCCTACCGGAAGACTGAGAACTAGTATATATAACGGAGATCCGGCTCAAGCTGAAGCAGACACCGTTTCACAGGGAGGAAACGGCTGGGACTTCCTAAGCATCATGCACGACATCCCATTCCTCTAGGGAATATGTGCTTGAAAGTACAATGAAAGCCGATGTGAAAATGCAGAAGGCAACCTCGCTCCAGCACGAATCCGCTGAATGGCAGGTGCTCCACGACACACCTCCCAAGAATAGCTGCGTAGCACCCTTACGCAAGCCCAGATCGATGATAAGTGAAACGGGTATCATATTCCTCCTCCGACCTCAATTTAGGCGCCCACCTTTACCTTCTTCTTCCTTGATTTACTATCCTCCAGCCCGGCAGACGGCGTCGCAGCTCCCTTCTCCGAGCCCCTCCCTGGTGTATCCACCCTGACTTGCGGCGTGGCTACTCTTGCAGCCGTTGCACCACCGCCGGCATTCGGCCCCTGTCTACTCATCCCGCCCGCCGCCGCATCTCCGGCCTTGGACATGAGGAACGACCCCGGCTCGCCGACCAGCGGGTTCTCATCCATGAACTCATCCCCGTACCGCGTCAGCAGACTGAACGACTCTGCCAGCGTTCGGGTATCCTGGTATACGGAGCCGCCTGTCTGCGCCACCTGCGATCCGACAAGAGGCGCCTTCGTTGGCGCGTCAGGCATCGGCGTGTTCTCTTTGCTCTGCTGCGCTGCGGCGGTGCCGGCTGCTTGAGCGGCTGAGTCGGGTTGTTTGGCTGATGGCGGGAGATAGGTGTGTCCGTGTGACGGCGTGAAGGTGGGTAGGGTGGATGCTGTTTTGAGGAGGCTGGTGAGCGAGGTCACGGCCGAAAGCTATGCCATGGTTCAAACAGAGTGAGCAGTTATGAGACAAGACGCCTTATGAAAGGATGAAGGAGGCAGGAGGGCAGCCTTACGATTCGGTTCCCAATGACACTTGCCACTGATGGTGCCATGTAGATGCAATCGCCGACGACAAAGTAGGTGGAGAGGACCTCCACCTCGTCGTCTTGGCCGGCTCGCTTGCGCCGCGTCTGCTTCCGGATCACCCAGATGTTGGAGGGCTCGTGTGCGAATCGCCCGTCCGGTTGCGCGGCGGCCTGGAGTGGATCGTACGAGACGATGAATTCCAGGCCCTGCATGGTGGCGAGCCGGCCTTCGAAGGCTTCGCGGGTCTCGATGAATTGCCGGAAGGCTTCGTTGTAGTTGGCTTGGATCGCGAGGGAGGCATTGTTGGATGTGGGATCGAAGAAGGGGGATTCGGCAAAGTAGAAGAGGACTAGTCATTGGAGAGACAGTTAGCATAGAGAGAACGAAGATACAGTACATCGTGTGACTGCCTGGGAGGAAGTCATACTGTTATTCGAATGGAGATAGCCTCCCATCATCTGCACGTGCGGCGGGGATCGCCATAGGATTTCCTCCAGTGAGGACTCTGGTGCGGTTGCCATGGTGTTCGGTAAGCTCGCACAATGTTTCTTAGGCTTCCCTGGAGACTTGGGTAGCTATGAATAAATGTGCAATGTGCTACGAGACTCTATCAGTGTCAAAGAAGTGACAGAGAACGAAGCTGGAGAGATCGTCGAGGCGTCTCTCCGCGGAGGTGACGATGTTTGGCGTGTTTGCATCCAACGTCGATCAGTCGTTGAATGTAGTGTGCTGTAAATAACAAAAATGGCTACAACTACAATGAGGCAAATGTGAATAAGAAGGGTCTCTGTAGGGAATTTATATAGATTCCAAGTGTTGTAATCGAGTCGCAACATGCTAGTAGGGTATCTTGTTGAATAGAATCAGAATCGGTGTGAAAACAAATCCGCCAAAGCTGCGGGCATGGCCTGCCCGCGATGCGAATGAAACCAAACGCCGCATCGTATATGGTAGATGTTGAATGCGATTTTCTGTAAAGTCTCTTTTGCAATCAATCAAAGTAAAGAAATGTATGTTAGTACGGTAGAGGGCAATGAATCATGCTAGGCATTCTTCATGGGCCGACAATCAAGCGGCACGAATGCCCCAAGGACTGTTCTCAACTTGGTTAACATCTCCTCCCATTCGCCTTCAGCAGTGCTAAGAATGGTGACTGCGCCGCCTGCGCCGATGCGCCAGACCTGTTCGACATCATCGTCGCCAGCACATGTAAAGGCGGTGCGTATCAGGACCGAGAAGCTCCCTCCACCACCGAGATCAAGAAAACCCATTGCACCAGAATAGACTCCCCGGTTTCGATCCTCAATCGAGGAAAGGTGCAAGCACGATCGTTCCTTCGGCGCACCGGTCATAGAGCCAGGTGGGAGGCATTGCTGCAGCGCCGTTAGGCCATATGCTGACATGCCGTTTGACTGTATTTGTGGCATATCTTGAGCCGCAAAGCCAGGTCGGTTTGGGTCGACCTCTCCTATGACATGCGTGATCATTTGGTAGACGCGCCCATGGTCTTCTACCTCGAGAAGCTTCTCCACATGCACCCCTCCCGAGCCACAGATACCGTAGAGGTCGTGTCGGATGAGATCTGCAATCATAAGATTCTCTGCCATCTCTTTGGTCGTGCCTAGGATTTCGCGCGCCTTTTCAAGAGTCATGTCGTTCGTCTTCCTCACAGTTCCTTTCATTGGTTTCATTTCTAACCGAGAGTGACGGTCCCAGTTAAGGAAACATTCAGGGCTGCTGCTGACAATCTTGAGGTTTCCTAGTCTGGCATAAGCACTGAAGGCGGCAGGGTTATGTTTCTGAAGACGCCGGTACAGTTTCCAAGGAAACTCCTTGCGGCCACTATTGCTTTCTGCTGAGGGCAATGTTATGGTAGTCTCATTGGTAAGACATAGTTCGTACGATTCGCCAGCTAGTAGTTGTGCACGACAGGCATCGAATTGGTCCTGGTATATTTGCCGATCCGGGAATCGTACCACACCCTGCTCGAGAATGCGATCCAAAGATTGTGAATCTGTCATCGTACCTTCAGTTTCAGCGGTTCTGTCAGAAGTTGCAAGCCTTTGGAGAGACGTCAATGTCTCATCCAGCCATCCATTGGCCAAATCATCCGTCGCACAAGTGGACTGGATGGTGACGCGGCCAGTGTGATGATCAACGACCACGCTCCTTTCAGTCCATAATAAGCTGGCATCTGCAGGATTGCTCGACGGACCACCGGCTCCTGAGGCATGCGTCCCTTGGAAATCCTGTTCGTGACTTTTTGGACGGGCAATGGAAGCCAGTCCCATTTCGTAAGAAAAGTAACCCAAAAAGCCGGCCCAAAATGGGACCGTATCATCGCCCGTGAGCACTTTTTTGGCATCCATGAGGAACTTGAGTGCGTTCCAGAACCGAGATGCTGACAAGCAATCCTCGATTGTGGTTTGGTGATCACTGGGTGAGCTCTTCGTGCTGCCGACTGATAACTTCTCTAAAAAAAGACGTTCATTCTGCGCATAGTATTCGAGCCTCCAAGTGTTTGAGCTAGGTACAGATATGATGCTGTACCGGCCGTTAGACTTGAAAACGACAGCTGCCGACCCCGAACTATTGAGGGCCTCGCAGATTATCTCGGCTCCTAGTTGCTTGGACTTAAAAGTTCGGGAGGAGGAGTGACTCGATGTTGACGCACTCCACTCCAACATAGTATGGACAATGTCCGGGATGAATGGCAGGTCACCGGAAGACCTAGGCGCGACAATTGACATGCTACTGTAGCTGCCTCGTCCATTCAGTTTGTTGTATCGGAGAGCCGCATCCCACCACTTTTTGAGCAGGTCACTGCATGCTTTTCTATCTGACTTGCAGGATTCAGGATGAAATTGAACGGCCCAGAATGGCTTCTTCCTGTGGCGAACAGCCATTGGAATTCGTGCCTGTTGGGGTGCGCCGTCTTGCTCAAGGGACAGCCAGGCAAGGAGATCCAGATCTTGCGCAACGAAGCCGTTGTGGTGACCGCCATCGGAGACGGATGACTTCATTTCAGCGTAAAGCGAGTGATACAGCGTGACTTCCAGCTCCTGAAAATCTCGGAAAATGTCCTCCTGTGCTGTCTGAACGCGACGGACCTGCCCATGAATGGGGTATGGAAGTCGACGAATCGAAGCCCCGTGGTGCAGACATAAACTCTGGAAGCCAAGGCATATTCCAAAGATAGGTAGTTGGTTCCTGCCCTCCAGGTTCCAGATGTCTCTCATGATCCCCACGTCTTGAGGAATATGGGGATCGCCCGGACCAGGCCCAAGAACGACGGCCTCGAAGCGCTGCACATAGTCGGCCATGTTGCCATTGGGCCATGATGAGTCAATTCTCAAGACTGAGACTGTGGCCTTGAGAACTTCTTCCAGCATGGCAACAACATTGTAGGAGAAGGAGTCATATGCATCAATGTACAAGATGTTCCTGGCTGGAAGTGCACGTGAAGTAGCATCATGACTTATAGTAGGTGTCTGGCCTTCGCTTGCTGACTCCCAGAATCCCAACGAGGGAGCCATATTAGGACACCGAAATTTGAGAAGAGGTCTGCAGGCAGACCCACAATGTGATAACAAAAATTAAGGCAAAGAGATATTGAACAGCATGGATGTATTCACATGCAAAGTAAGAGGGAGGAGATCATTGACAGGAGGAGGGGGAGGGGAGTGGAGGTGGATTGACTATCAGATAAAGAACGACGATCAGGAAAAGATGCAGAATCCGCCACTCCGAGAGTGGCAACGCTAGTAGTCCATAGTACAGTTCCGTACGGAGTACACCCGCTCGGTTCCTGAAAATACCGGAGGAAAACTTTAAGATCTTCTTCGGTCCGAACTTCATCGCCGCCACTTGTACATAGTATTCTACCTCAAATTCAAAGAAATTACTGTACCCATGATATATACTTCCTAGAAAAATAGATAGGTATGTATTTACTATGCGTAGGTCTATCTATCCCTATTCACCACGAGTGTACATACATGATAACCACCTATAAAACCAAACCCTGAAAACGCCCCGCATCCTCTTGATTGGCTCGAGTATTCGACACCAGCTAGAGCTATATTATAGACTTATGGGAAGTCATCTGACGCTTAACCTATGCCGAACAATTCCGTGATAGCATGATCTACAGTAGACATCATATGTCTGTGTAAACCCAACTCAACGAAGACTTAACCAACGAGGTGATCAATGCCAACTCATCATCATCATCATCATCATCATCATCATCAACAACCTCCGCTCGAGGTTCAATTTCCCTGACTGGGAGTCACTAGCCTGGCCGCCACTTTAGGGAAGTACTGCGCAACGAATCCTTCACTGCAGCATTGTTAGTACCTAGAATCATCCTCCTGAAACTGAGGACGGAATGAACTTACGTGTAGAAACTGTGTGCAGAACTGTGATCCTCGACAAGATTATGCGCCAGTTCATGGCACAAGATCACCCACCAATAAATCAGTGCTTCGGATCGAGCGCCGGCAGAGTTCTGGAGCAGCTGCTTCTCGTGCAGCTGCTGGAAGAAAAAGTAATTGCAGAAAATGCTACCGGCCCGATTGAAAGCAATGGTCTTTCCGGGGTCATAGAAGACGCTGATAATGTCGAAGCGTAGGGAAAAGACATCAGCACAGTCGATCAGCAGGGATGCGAAGACGTTGATTCCAAGACTGTTCTTTGCCAGGAAGGCCGATCGGTCTGGAAGGGTTTTGACAAACAGCACATGGATGCCGCAAGCAAGAGTAGCCACAAATTCAAGATCGTGACTTGGTTTCTCATCGCAGTAGGACTTGGTTTCTGTGACCTGACTCGTTTGTGGTCGGGTGTAGACGTCGGACGAACCATGGGGTCGACACGCCTGAACCGCCGAAAGCAATTCGGATTGAAGGCGATGAGGAGAGTTGGCAGCGACCGGTGCTTCCGGACGAGATTTCTGCTGTGGATCTTGGACGGTGTAAGGCGGAGGAGGAGTAGCATTTTCAGAGGGTCCAGGGACTGGCGTGTTCGAAGACTCCCCATTGAGGGCATTCCAAGGTGACCGGTTACCTTCAAGCCCAAACCGCTTGGTCAAATTGGCCAGAAACCCGCGCGGCTTCTGGTCTTGGGCCTGATCCGACCTTTCAACCTGCATATCACGGGTAGAATTTCTGCTCGAGGGAGAATCTGGGAAATCCCCTGGCATGAGTTGCCGCTCATCTTCCGTTGCGTGCGAGCGTGTCTGACTCTGGCTCTGAATCTGAGCCTGGCCTTGAGCCCAGGCGGCTTCTCTTTCCTGCAAGCGTTGTCGTTCCTCCTCAAGCTGCTTCTGTCGCCTGTCTTCTGCCACCCTTGCTTCCTGGGCCTTCTGCTTGAGAATACGTTCTACATTGTACCCGCGAGCTTTCAACTCCAAAAGATCAGTCTTGAGGAGCATTTCCAGGGTCAAAGTCGAATGAAGCTTCGGTCTAGCAAGAATGAGATGCACCAGAGCCTGACTTATTTCATAGAGATCGTATCTGCCCGGACATATCCACAGCATCCAGTTTCGCGATGGCTGCTGGGTGATGATTGCACTTCGCTTCTGAGTATGAGATATACGCCGTCCCTTGAGAGATCGAGTGAGGGAAATGGATTGTACCACCTGGACTTGTAGATGTTTTTCGAGCCAGCGCACATCGTGTCGTATGGAATCCGACGATTGGTCATGCAGAAAGAGTCTCGTGCGTTCGTGAATCAACTTTTGTAATTTAGCTGCTGGACTCTGATCGGCTGCCACTGCGCCCCAATGAGCGCGCTCTTCGACGAGGCTGCTCAGCGGTACTGCTCCCAAAGAAAGGTAGAAGTTCTCTAGGGGCTCTTCTTGTGGAGCGGCCAAAACATGTTCCTTGAACAAATTGAAACTTTGAAAGTCATCCACAACCACAGCATCCTTGGCGACGGTCAGAGTCCACTCCTTAATGCTCTGTTCTTCGTCTTCGTCTTCTGAGCCCGCAACATCATTGTTGACATTCGCCTGAGCGAGAGACGTTATGTCTCTGCTGGATAGAAGAAACGCAGATCGTTTCATCTCCAGAAACAATTCCCGGTCTTTCTTGAGCACCGGGAGATGCTCTGCAAGTGTTCTAAGCAACTTGAGATACTTATCTGCACTTTGGAAAGTGGCCGATACTCTTGCAGGCTCTCTTACTAGCATATGCGCAAGCTCGGTTTTCGTTGGCTCACGCTTGGAACCCACTGCCATAAGGAATAGATTGGCCTCCTGATCAAAATCGACGAAATCAAATATATCCTTGTAATCCTCGCCTTCTCCCAGATAACAGAGCTTGGGCGCCACATGACGCACAGAAGACTTCTTGTCCATTGTACAATGAGCAGTCGAGACGGGCACAATCTGAGCATTGCTAACACGATCGATGTCCCGGGATCTGAGTTCCGACACCCTTCCGGCAAGGTACTTGAATACCACCCGGGCGTCCCTTTTTGTAGATGGCGGCAGGCGTATAAGACAATCTAGACAATCGCTCAAAGGGGGGTGCTCTTTTACTCCAAACTTTGAGGCATGGGGATGGAGATCTTTCCGGAGAATCTGAAAACCAAATAGTGTAGCACCCTCTTCAGTGAAACATTTCCCAGGGGTGCTTAAAGTGTCTGACCCTTCGACAGGTAGGAATGGAACCTTGATTGCGCCACAGTCGAATATAGCATAGCCGCTCGTATGATACTCGGCGATGTAATATGACATGGCTCTTGTGTGCAAACTCCAGTCCTTTCCTGAGGTTGCTCTCGCCATAATATCAACTAAGTCTGCAGCGGATGGAGAAGCCCTTAAGCCAAGCATAGATAGAAATTTACCCTCATTGCTGCTAGGTAGATATTTTCCGGGCCATTGAATAATTGGCAACCCAAGCGCACGAAGTGAATCTTTGGGCTCAAACAATTCGCATATCTTATAGCGCGTTGTCTCAGCGCGCTTAGATTCATTCAAAGTCTGCCCATCGCGGTATTCAGCTGGGCAAAGGCTCGTGTCCTTGAGCCTCTTGATGTCCTTCGAAGGTATGTCTGCTTGAACAGATGCTAGATAGCGTATCAAATCGACATGGCTCCACCTCCGCTCACTGTTGTTCCCTGGGTCCGAAGACTCAGATGGGTTCAAAAGACGTTCGAAGATAACTCCAAGTTCAACTGTTTTACGAACTCCCAAAGATGCCAAAAACTTCTCCTTGACACCGTTAAGACCGTGAATAACAGGTAAATCATCGAATAGTCGAACAGAAGAGAAATATGTTTCGGGTGGAGTCTTCATTCCCAGCTTGGTGGGAATAATGGTTTTCGATTGCAGTACATTGCTCACTGTTTGCTTCGATGCCGGACTAAAGTACTCCCATTGCTTCGAAATCACAGGAAGAACCTGCGCGGAAAATGACGAATTCTGAGTAATATCATGAGCTGCTGAGAGCATGTTTCGATTGCCGGCATTTTCAACCAGCCAAAGGATCCAAGTGACGACCTGCAATTCTGTCCATCCCATGGCCTCCAGCTCTCTGTTCCCAAGGCCTTTTGTGAATTTGAACGGTGCCACGGATGGTGGCAATGGCAAGCTTGCTGGTATTCTTTGTGGGTTCAGAAAGCTTTCGATACCCGCAAATACAATCAATTTGGCCTGTGAGTCGGCGTTCTCTTCGTCGCTTGCTACTGCAACACTAAGGATACTTTGAACGGAATAAGCATCGAGCTGACCCGTAACAGCCTTCCGACTGAGCCAGATAAGAAACTCGTTGACTTGATTGGCACGCAACGTAGTGCGCTCCAACTCCTTCTTAATGTCGGACACAGTGATGTCAGTCACCAGGCCAAAGTCCGTCAATTTCTTGACAAAATCTTTAGCACCTGTCACGAAAGCATCTGGCAAAACTGGAATCGAATCCATGAAACTGAGATCTTTGGGAGCTATGCGTGCTTGATGGCTCTGGATTACACCGCACGTTGACAAAATTTCAATCGAGGAGCTTTTGTTGCACGTCCAGAACGCGTCTTCTATTGTCTGCCCCAGCACGGAAGATGGAGTTGATTCACGAAACACAAATTGATTTGCGGTATGGATAGCCTCGGGGAGTATATCGATTATATCATCTTTGCGGACCTTGGTTGAGTTGAAATCGTTCTTTCCGGGGTGTATCCTGGACTTTATGGATGCCATCTCCGCAGTCCAGGCAATACGACAAACAATGCCGGCCGCCCTTAAAATTTCAAGGTTCCACTTGCTGATATATCGAGTGTTGAGATCGATACTCTCCCTCTCGACTGTGGGGATTACAGAAGGTGCCGATATATGAGCGTTGAGGCCTGTTGTTTGATGGGTAGGGAAACCTATGAAGATCCTTCCATCTCTCGAAGGAAGTATAGAGGCAAGAATCTCGGAGTCCAGGCCGGAAGCTCTGGAGGCTAAAGTAGTATCATATGAAGGTGTCAAGATAGCAATTGTCGATTTCTTCGGTGGTGGTTTCCGAGTTGCTCTTTCAAGTTCACTGCTCAATGTTTGACTGACAGACGCTTGAATACTAGCAGTGTTGATATGAAGGAAGACAGATGCCTTTGAGGTCTTGATCATCTCGCCGATTTCGCTCAC